TAAGTTTGCCGACAGGACAGCATCTTCTTGGGGCGGCCTCCGGCAGCAGTTCCCGCAGAAGCACAGCCCGGAGGGCTGAGGGATGCGCCTCGCTTGCAAACCGCATTTCCGTTGGAGCTAGCCCCACCTGCACCGCTTCCACGCGTGCCAGGTGCAAAGCCCACCCACTCGGGCGCTCGCTCTCACGCCCGGACCTATGCTTCTCCTGCTTAGGGGCAGCCGGCCAACCGGGAGTCATGGTCACCCTATGTCTGGAAAGGCGGCTGACATCACTGCCTTTCCGTTTCCCAGGGGAAGGGCTAGAGAGTTAACTAAAGGTCAAATTAGCATAGGAAAGAGCGAAGACTTCTGTTAACCCTTCTCTAACATAACACGTTAACATATCATAAATTGTTATAATTATCCAATCTTTGGCTTTCAAATTTCATAGAAAAAATAAACATTGCTACTTAAAATATAGTTTTAAATTATTTCAGGAGCTTGAGCATACCGTTAGGGATTCATTCATGTTTTCGTTTGTTCAAAAATTGATTTACATGTGCCAGGTACAATATTAAGCACTGAAAACACGGTGACGAACAAGACAGAAACAGTTCCTCTCCTCACAGAATTTAAAATTTATCAGAAGATATAAAAGAGGGACCAGTCAATACCAATATAGTTTTAAAAACCCCTTGATAAAGTGCAAAGTAATAACCATATTGAAGGACCATGAACACAGACTTGTGACACAAGAAATATTCCCATTGAAAAAAATAGGTAACACACTCCAGCACTCAGTTGTTTGTATGTGTTTTAAACGCTTTATTTTTTCTCAAGTGTAATATTAACTAATATTCATAAAAAGCAAATGTATATATTTTTAGGCTGTATACATCACCTGAACTCTAAAATCATGTGAATTATAATAATTCCTGTTCGAGGGAACATTTACCCCCCCACCCTTGTATTTCTGTCTTATTGGTGAGACTTTGGGAGAAGAAAGTGAGCCTCTGCCTCTTCCAGGTTCTCTGAGAGCCGCCTGCCCGAGAGGGCTGCATTCCAGGCAGGCGGCCATCCGGGAGTTTTACCGGGTAGGCCCTGCCCTGCCAAAGGTAAATGTCTACAATTGGGTGGGGTGCGCAAAGAAGGAACAAGGCTCCACTCAGGGAGTACCGGGAAGTCGCACCTGCCTGTACATTCATGCCACAACCATCAATTCTGATTGCTTCAACAATAAAATTGATATTTTGATTTCTACCTTCTGACTCTAATATCTATTTCTCGCTTGGTTCGGAATTTGGAAAGTAAAGCAAAAGATGTTACATATTGACCTTCAAAATTGCAGCGCTAAATTACTCTAAATTTAGGGCAACAATTATCTATAATTTCAGTCTAAATTGCATATTGTCATGTTTCCCAGGAAACAAATGCTGAGAGCTGCCGGCCTGACTTTCACTGGGGAGTGCGCTGAGAAGAACACCTGTGGACAAGTGAAGGGAGGGGAACTGGGTAGAGAGCGGCTGACATCAGTGCAATTGCCAGTCCCAAGGGGGGGGTTCTGATGGCCCATCAGAGTTGTCGATGGAGGCAAAGGGGGCTGCTGGCAGTTTGTTCCCTCACATAGACCAGAAATTGGACCAGAAAATGGGCTGCCTCTCTCCCTGCCTCTTCTCTAGAATCAACTTTTTAAAAATTAGAAATAAATAAATAATAAAAGCGGCCACTATAAGATCACCCAATTAAGTAACCATATTACCCAAAACAACTAGCTATGATTCAAAAATACTGTATTATGAGAACTGACTGGTGGTTGCCAGAGGCAGGGGTGGAGATTGGGCAAAATGGGGAAAGGAGGTGAAAAGGTACAGGCTTCCAGTCACAAAACAAAGAAGTCACACAAACGTAATGTGCTGCGTGGTGACTGTAGCTAAGAGTACTGTATTGACTATTTGAAAGTTGCTAAGAGAGTAGATCTTAAAAGTCCTCATCGCAAGAAAAATGCTTTTTTGTAGCTATGTAGAGTGACGAATGTTAACTAGACTTATCGTGGTGATCATTTTGCAAAATATACAAAAATTAAATGATTATGTTGTACAACTGAAACTAAAATATTATGTAAATTATACCCCAATAAAAATAAATTAAAATGCTGTATTATTCTAAACAGTAACAGAATAATGGTAATGTGTGTCCATAAGCTAATATCGGTCACAGTCAACAAAAAGGAAAAAATATCTACCATAAAGTCAGTCAGCATAAATTGTACTCAGAAGATAACTGAGGTTCTTCCTGATAATTACTTTCCTGTAGGTATGTTCAAGCAGGCATATATTCCCACTTATATCCGTATTTATATAGGCATACCTTTCTTTGGAGATAAAAATGTAACGAGGCTGGATATAAATGCCTCGTACCAGAAAACAGAAATTCTACCTGTTATTTCTTCTCACTAACCTCTCCACTGCCCAAGGTCTCTCCTTTCCATTCAAGGAAATCTCCATTCCAATAAAGAAAATACACATACCAGAATCTAGTAACGATGTGTTTAACCCACCTCCCCTTTGTGCGTGTCCTACTTCACATTAGAATGCCTCTGGTTTGTTTTTCCTGTATCTTCCGTTATCTCTGATTAACCTTGTCTCTTCTGTTTGATTATATGTTGTTAAAAGGAAAGAGAAATGCCTGCTATATTAAAACCTTATTTTTCATCAATATGAGGTTTACCCACTAAAATAAACTTTTTTCAACCTTTAGTGTTGAAAATCATTCTAAATATAGAAGTAGGATTTTCACCCTTAGTAATTCCCCTTGTGCATTTACCCTTTCTTTTGCAGATAATTAATTATTTAACAGAGTTTGGGAAAGGCAAAAATAAACTTGAGTCAGACTCACTGCCCGGTCTAAATCAACCATAAATCAAAAGGCCCTGTGAAACTGAAATGTTAGTCGACATGGAAATGGCAATAGTTTGCCTTCAGTTTTTCAGGGATTTATCTCGTAAGTAAAACAAGATATGCCAGAGCAAAAAGGGTCCTTGTTGACGGTGAACTTCATACCAATTAACTGGGCTGTAGGATGGGGGCTTAAACAATTTCCAACAATCCAATTTGGCCATGCTTTGTGATAACCAGAAATGTCAGCGTAGGCTAAGAAGATGTATATCAGCCATCAGTCTAGAATGCTTTTTTCTTGCATAGTAATGCATACTATTCAGATATCAGATGTCTGCCCTGACTCCTCAGATTAGGTATGAATTCAGCAGTCCATAAAATATCTCATGACTTTCAAGTTCCCCAAATGGTGAAAAACTAGGAACACTGTATGACTGATTAATAAAAGAGCCAAACAGAAAAGAATGTCCACTCATCACTATGCGATGGTCATCAGGCCAAGGCACATGAGAGTCAAGAACCTCAACACGTGGGGAAAGATGGGGGACATGAAGGAAACAAGGGGAGAAACGCAAGATCACTCAGTAATTCCCTCTCGTGCATTTTACTTTGCAGATAATTATTTAACAAAGGTAGAATTTAATATTCCCTCTCCCTCTCTCTCCTTTCCTCCTCTCTCCCTGTGTGTGTGTGTGTGTGTGTGTGTGTG